AAAAGGGCCCAAGCCAAACAAAAGCATCTTGTGGCATGGGAGGATCCCGAGATGACCCAAAAGCATCCCGGTGAGGATGGAGCATGCACAGTAGACTTGGGATGCTCAGCTGATGGGTGGGATTTTAAAAAGAAAAACAAAAACAAAAACAAGGAGAACCAGGAGGGGGAAATGGAAAGGAGATCCTGAAAGAAGCCATGGCTCCTTGGCCAAAACCCTGAGCTGCAAGTTTTGCTGCAGATCCCACTTCTGTTGCTCTCCAGCTGAGCCACATTCCACACATACCACATACACCTTTCTAAAATAAGGATTACACAAATAGCTCACTGTTCCCTAAACCTATCCCACAAAACCCTTTTGTATTCCTCCCAGTTTGCAAATGAATCCCTATATTGCTGTAATCCCTGCATGCAGTAATTTTGCTTCTTTCTTTAAATGGATACTACTCAGATTGTTTTTGTACCCTCAAAGACTTACTAGTATGAACCAAGCAAAACAAAATGTTTAGTTTTGTTGGCTTGGAAGTACCTCTGCTGTGTAACAAGCTAGGTAACAATGCTAATATAATGTTCTTTAAATGCGATATTCTACAACAGGCACAAAAAAATCCATGAAAATAATACAGTTGTTTCCCCAAAATGCCAGAAGGCTTTCTAGGGTTCAATCTATGCATGATTGAATTGATTTTTAGGATTCTTGTGTCTAAACATGCATGGCCTTCTGCCCTAAACTTGCTAAAATAAAGCTAGTTTAGATTGCAGTCATATCACCATTTTGCAGGTGGCAAGCCCTACTGAATTAATGGGGCTTCTGAGTAGACAGGCATGGGCTTGTGTGGGTCCGTAATCTGTTTGAACTCGTAGGCAAAGCTGGAATGTGGAGAGCATCTCATGGATACTCTCACAAATTGGCTGCCATGAGAGGGGCTTCCTATTCACAAAATGACTGCTGTATTGGGGATGGCTGGTCACCCAACACTGATTTCCCAGAATGCAAACATGAGGAGAAAAGAAAACCAACTTTAAGAACCCAAGTAGAAAGCAGAGGTGGGTTCTGAATTCCAAACACAAAACTAATCTGTTGAACCCACAACTTCGTGCTTTGAGATTTATTTCACAGAGGGAACACTGGACTGCAGCCATCCCTCACTTTCATTTTGTAGGAATACCTCTGGAGCTCTTTATTCTTGGAAATAAAGATGGAACCATTCTGGAGATGGACACTCTCTGCTGCATGAGCCCAGTTGTTTCAAAATAAAATAAAATAAAAGCTTAAAAATTAGGAAGGGCAGAGAACCTGATATGAGTGAAGGGAAGTGTCTACAGGCACATTGGTTGGAAAGCCAGATATCAGCTGTACATGAGGCTTTTGAGCAGCTTTGCTCTGGTTAATTTGTTGGATGCTTTATTGGCTTCTGTATTCTTCCCTGAGGGTGAGGCAGTTTCTAGTAATCTTCCTGGTGACTCAGCCAGATGATCTAGTGGCTGCCTAAATAAAAAGGTGACTTGTTCAACACTGTGGATACCATCACTCAAACTGTATTTCTATTCGTGTCAAAACCTTTGCACAACACTATGTGCTAAAGCCTTGCCTGATCTACGGAGGAGGAAACAATGTAACACCCTGCCATCAGGAAATGTATGCCAGTAGTTATCCAGCAGGGGGGAAATCCCATCCTTATATCCTGAAGGTATAAACTTTCCAAAGCAATTCTGTGTGTGTTCCATCTGAAGAGCAAGTATGAAGCTTTAAAAAAATGAACAGATTTAGAATTTTTACAGTTTTGTGATAATTTATATTTAATTGCAGCTTTAAAAAATCAAACCAACTTATGTTGTGTTTTCCCAGAGAGGTCCATTTCGTTTTGTGCCCAGAGAAAAAGCAGTACCAACTGTCATCAACTGCTCACTGAGTCCTAAAACTGGATTCTATAGCTCCTGGAATGCTGTTTGACCTGCAAGGCCACATCAGCACGCTACAAACCTCCCTATGAGTTGTGGTCTTCCAGTTTGAGGGAGGAGCCCAAAATGTTGAGAAACAGCTATCTGAAAGCCTCAAGTGGCATGCATAATTTCTGAATTTGTCTGGGAACTCTAGGGGATGCCCCACAGGCACAGTTCTCTGTCTAAATCTATAATTAAACTGTGGCAGCTCCAGGGAACCTTGGCCTCTCTTCACTCTTCCCGCCATTGCTACAAACATTAAATCATCAAAGGCATTTTTTGGTTATTCATTGATCATTTTTTGTCCAACAGTGCCTTAGCGGCTTGAGACTTTTGCACCATTTAAAAAATATAAGTAAAACTGAGAAGACTAGCTAGCATTTTCTGATATTGTGCAACCAACCAGGAAATCAATAGAGCTCCTGCTATACTTTCCATTTCTTCCTAAATTTATCAGTTTCCCTCCCTGCC